CGTGGACCCCCTCCTTCCCTCCTAACACCCCCAGCCTCCCAGTGCTGATGTGGGGGCTATGATGGTGTCTCAGCCCACACCAAGGTCTCTGGGAAACCATACTCGGGGGTCATCAAGGAACAGAACAAGAAGGGCAAGGTGAAGGATCTCCTAATTCTTGAGAGACCTTAGTTCTCCTGCATGCAAGGGATCCCCCTTTCCCTGGGAGGTGCCATGCAAGAGAAACCCAGCCCCTTTGAGGGGACAAATCCTTAGAAGACCGGGTTTCTCTTCCATGGTACCTCCAGAAAATTAATGAAGAGGTTTGAGGGCGTGTGCCTGGGGACACAGCCAGGAAAGATCCCACTGCAAGAGCCTGTCAGGAGCACTCTGAGCTGTGCTAACACGGATTTGCCAGCTGAGCTCAACCAACTCTTCAAAATCACTTTGGGTTTAAAAATCTCCTTGTTCTGCACCTCTTCACCGTTCTGCATTCACAGACAGCCTCACACGAGCCTTTGCTGCAAGGCCAGGGTGCTGTAAACACGTACCGTTAGGGCTGAAATAAGCCAGGGATGCTCTGCCGGCTTGCAAGCTACTGAAATACTCCTGGGGGCTCAGCTCCTGCAGCAGCCTCGCACTTCCCCGTGTTGGGACGGAGGAAGCACAGAAGAGCAGGATAGAGAAGGAACAAATCCATCTGTCCTTTTGGGCTGACATGGCTGTGATCAGAACTGTGATCAGGGTCACAACTGGGAAAACAATCAAAAATATATATTTATTACATATATATATACACAAACATACATACGAGTGTCTTCTGTTCAGGTAGGTGCAGCCTGACTGTAATTTACAGATGTGACACAAACATCTCGAGGCCGTCATGCATTAGTCACTAGTACAGCAGGTGATTCAACAACTGTAAAGATGACAGCAAAGGCCATTCTCTTCCCTCTGAGCACTAGCTGCAAGTGCATGGACCCTCAGTGCTTTCAGGTTGGGGCTGCTTTTCTTCCCTTCCCTCTTTTTCTTCTTTTGAGTTAAACAGAAATTGCATGTACAGGGAGAAAACAGTGACAGTACCATACAAACAAACCCACCCAAACTGTCTCAATTCTTGTTTAAAAGCTTTGAGGATGCCATTAGCATTATAAGTGCCAGTGAAAGTGGTGTTCACTAAGGGACGGGCCATACTGCTCCCTTCAGCTGGTGCCAAATGATGTGGGGAGGTCCAAGAGCCCTCCCACGGTGCCTGCCCCATCTCTCTGCCATCCGATGGTTCAGCTACACCACACGGGAGAGGGGTTTTTGCAAACCCCTCGGCTTGTCACACCTTGCCCGGTCCAACCTCACGTTATTCTGACATCGGTGGCATGGGGGCAAAACACATGACCCAGGGCAGTCTTGGCAGTCTCCCTCCCGCACCGGGTCTCCATGTGGAGCTGGCTAGGAGAGGAGCCAAGGAAATTTGTGGAATGCTTCAGAGAACAGAGCAAAGACCAGGCTGCCAGAGTTCAGCAGCAGCACTCCCCGAGCTGCCCCGCCACGGGGGCTCAGGAGAGCTTCACGGGGACAACCACTACAGGATGAGAAAACACCTTCTTCCTACTCCATTCCTCTGTTTAATACCGGGTTCCTTCCCAGCTTGATCTTCTTAGCTGCTGAGAGTGCTGGAGTGTGGCTGGTCCCTGGTCAACAAGGAGACAAAGCTGGGATTGAAGCCACGGAGAAGCTGTTTGCTTTGCATGGCGAGCTGCAGCTGTTTTCGTCAACAAACGCCCCTGTGTCCATGGACTGTCATTCCCCCCAACACCCTGTCAGATGCTGTCAGCTTACTGTCACTGCTCTGGGATGAACCCAAACTCAAAATGCTCCAAAACAAGCGGGCAAAGTCCCTCTGCCTGGGGTTAGTGACAGCCAGGAATGCTCAACCTTCACAGGCTCCCTCTCACGCAGGTGGGGCGTTTGGATCGTGCCTGAACGGCACAAAGGAACAAAGACAGAGCTGAGAAAGGCAGGAATATTTTTCTTTTCATCTGGAAATCTCCAGTTCTCTCCTTTCCAGCTTTGGGGAGTGCCAGGCATTTCTGGTCCTTTGCCCTCCCATCTGTTCCTCTGGCTTACAGAGGGGACAGAGATCGGGGCGGAGGGGGGGGGTGGGTGATGTTTATTAAATGACAAACTTGGCTACAGCGGGATGGAAAAATAAACTCAATCCTGGCATGTGGGAAGCAGCCCAGGTCAAATGGGAGAGCTTACTGTCAAGGAGGCAAGAGGAGCAGCCTCCAACGACCCCAAGATTTCATGGTGTTATACCTGGAAGGGGGGGTGCCAGCAGTTTAAAACACAACCCCAGCCTCTCTACCCACCTCCAATCTCTCCTCATGCCTCCTCTGGCTTTCGTAGTTTTTCTAGCATCCACCTCTTGCCCTCCCCACATCCCTGTGATTGCTGCTCTTCTTGCACCTCTCCCAAAGTCAGCCCCACCACGACCCCTCACTCTGTCCCACACCCCCCCTCCTCTCCATGCCCCCTCGCCCTGTCCCACCACCTTCGATCCCGCTCCTCCCCATGCTTTTCTCTCCTTTCACACAAAAATATGTGCTCGTGCCTTCCCTACTCATGCCCTTCACCACCTCATTCCTCCATCCTTCCAGCAGCTTCCCTGAATGCCCCATCAATCCAGACTCAAATATTCAGCTTTTAGGTCATTTCTTCCGTCACCTCATTTCCATCCATGGAAAATTAACACCATAGGGCTGGAAACAGCCAGAACCCTGTACCGCAGCCACTTGAAGGATTACCAGGGATGTGTGAAAATACCAGGGATGTGTGAACCAGCTCTGTGTCACTGTCAGGAATCCCTTAAGCCCATGGACCACGGGGCAGCCTAGCACGCACAAGACCTGGTTTATGTTTTCACTGTCCTACCTCCGAGACAGAGCCAGCCAAGGTGGTTAAAGCCACTGTAGACGACCTAAATTAAACCAAACACACCACAAGACACCCAGCCCAGACTCCTGCATTGCCATAAATCGCTTGTGCCACATCAGTTTTGCTTGGGCATCCTGCACCGGTAACCACGGGCTGGGATCCCGGCATCACCTCTGCGATCCCATCCATCCTTCCTGACATCCTGCCTCGCAGAGCCTCCAGTATTTATTACTGAGGAAGCCACAGTATATTTCACTCAAAGGAGGTGGTGTGGGGTGGGTTTTAAGACTCACAAGACATGGAAAAACCACTGTCCTATTGGAATTACGGACTGCGCAGCCAGCTGGGTACCCTCTCCATCATTATGGGCTGCCCTGTACTCGGGAAAAACACCACCAACCTGGACTCAAATCCCAGTGATGTAAAATCTCCTGCATTCCTCAGCAGCATATTTTCCTCCAGGGGATCATTTACCTTCTTGCAAAAACCCTACACTTTATACTTGGTCCAAGTATGTTACCCTGCTGCTTCCCCTTCGTTTTATCTCATGGTACCGCCTGCAGACCCCTCAGTTGGCAAGTTTTAACTCCCTAGGTAGATGCTCCTAAACCAGGAGCATTTAGGGTGCTCCTAAAAGGAGTCACTTCAACCTCTCCTGTGATGATCGACACAGATCAGACCTTTTGTTGCAGCAAGACATTCACCCTCCACCCAGCTGAGTTTTTTGGCAGCGTGCTCGCCTGCCTTTCATGCCCTTCTGGCAGCAGTTAACCAGCTCTCTGCCCTCCCACGTTTGCTGGCAGGGAGGACATCTAACAGCCCCCAAATCCACGCGGGGCAGACTCAACCCCTTAGCTACAGCAAGCTAAGCAGGATGAAGCGCTCCCCCTGGTAAGGCTGGATGTCCCAGCACAAATACACCTGATGATGAAAAATGCAAGGGAGAGCGTAACGCTGACAGCTCTTCCTGCACTTTGGGCCGTGCACGCATGTTTCCTTTAGGGGATCCAGAAAAAAAAATCCCTGAAAAGCTCCCCGTGCCAGCCTCCTGCTCTGCAGATCCACGTGAATCCCTCCAGCCACACTGCACGGCCAGCAAGCCCTTCCCAAATGCATCCAATTTGCTTGCAGCCAGCTTGTCCGGAGATGGAAACTGTCCCAACAGCTGTATGGACTGCACATTTCTCCTGAAAAGATGACAAATCGGCTCTTCGGGGCCAAAGAAAGCATCCTTGGGATCCCACTGCAGCATATCTGGATGCTGCTGACTCTCCCGGGACAGCCCACTATGTGAAACTGTCACCCCGTGGTCACGTCCCTGCCCGGGGGGGGTCTATGTTTGTCCTGAGGGTTTTTAATTCATCAGAAGACCACACAGCCCCAAGTCACAGGCCTGACAACTGTTGACATATATTGCTGACAACTGTTGAAATATTGCTTATGACAAGCAATATTTAAGTCCTTTTCTTCCAGGGTGAGTTTATGTGTGAGTTCTATGGAATCCCACAGCTGCCCAGCGATAACCTTACCGGATATTGCATTATTCTGCATATTTTTTCACTACACACTCCCCTTCCTTGCTCATCTTTGAGAAAGTGGCCAGCACCAGCCCTTTCCTAATCAGCAGGCAAGTCAGGTTAATTAGCGGTATGCAGTTTTGCTGGAATGGGGCTTGAAACAGCTCCTTTCAAATTTTCTAAAGGCAAGTTGTGCTGGGCTGAGCCAGGCTGGGG